TTGATACATGCAGCTATCTAACTCATCCACTGAATCATCAGCTGGTAATAAATTAGCCAGAGCAACAATCTAAACAAAACACCAATAACAAAAATGTCAACTTTTTTCTTTTAACACCCTTAAATATCGATTTCTAGTACTTCTTTAAGTACCTTTTTCTTTTAAGACACAATAATTCCCAAAATATTCTCGGGAAACAAACACAAAACCCGGTGGCCATATTGGTTGCATTTCATCATTGCATAATAGCTATCTTTGCCGCCGCTGACTAAAGCCACCACCTTCATTATCTCCTGCGCTGAGTCAAATTGCAGAAATTTAATTTAGCAACCTCCTTTTTCTGAGGGTGAAGTTTGGGGCGTGGGAAAGGGCTTAACAAATAGGGTTTAACACTCTATTTGCTGTTTGTAATTAATAGTTAAACCCAGTTGAGCAATTGGAGCCTCTTTGGTTTCTACAAGGATTACAATGGTACATTAATGATGAGAAATTATTCCATCTAGATTTTGATAAAATTTGAATCAGATTAGCTGATTGTCGTGTGAAGCTAAAACTTGAGCGGTCATGAATTAAATTTAATTTTTTAATATTTAATTGTAATAGTTCATAAAATCAAATTTAAATTTAAATACATAATCAAATTTAAAATTAAATATGAGAATCGAAATAATTTTTTTAAAAAATTTAATTGAATAATTTAAATAATTTAATTTTTATTTTAAGTTAAACTTGAGATTAAAAATTAAAATTTAATTGAATTTGAATTAAATTTTTAATTATAAATTTCAAATTAAGCTTAAACTCAAAATTTTTATTATACCAACTAAACTCAATTGGATTATATTTTTAATATTTATTGATCCAACAATTTACACTTTTCACTTTTTCCTATTGTTGAAGTGAAATTTTTTAAATAAATTTATTTTATACGAAATTACATATCATAATTAGTATTAATATTAAAATATATTTTTATTTTTATTAAACTCATATATAATTATTATGTAAAATTCTATATCCTATTATCTTTGTGTCTTTTTTTTTAAATCGTGTTTGTCCCGTAACATTAAATCGTGATTTAAATTATCGAAGTCTACAAAGGAGTACATTGTGGCATTAAGTTCCTAAATGCTGTGAAAAAGATTCACCAGACAAATTCGTCCGAGGTGTTCTGCCTGACGACAAAATGTTTTATCTTTTCCCTAGCTAATCTTGGGAGAATTAACCAGTGGATTGCCGGTGTTTAAGATCTAGAAGGGAAGATGTGACTACAATCTTAAAACTATAAGTAAATTTTCCAACATCGAATCATCGATCCATGCCATACACCTACATTAAAGATCTGTTAACAACATGCACAGTAGCTGCAGCCCATCTGGTGGACACATCCAGGATGCAATTAGTTCAATAATTCTAGTTAAAACATCAAAAATGGCTTCCCACCTCTTTATTCAAATATACCTACAAGAGAAATTTCGAATTTCACAGATAAATACACCATTTACTTAATCTATGTTCATAACACAACTAAATGGTAAGAATTGAAAAAGAAAATGGAAAAAGGGGGTGAAAACAATTAAATTACTTGCTAGACGACCATGATCCAAACCAAAATTGCTACATAAATTGAGAGTTAACATGCCAACCCTACCTCAACCATACCCAGGGAGTAAAAAACAGACTTCGATTGTATCTTAGAAATCGAGAATGGAAAGGGTATTAAAATGTTCTTAGCTTCTTTAAACCTGGATTTCGATTATTACCTCCTAGCAAAGACTCATCCAATGTGAAAATTGCTCAGATAAAGCTAGGCTCCAATTCCATGATCCATCATGTTCTGTCAAACCATGCATGCATAGGCCTGAAAATCCTTCCCTGGTGTATCATTTGTACATCCCACAAGGCCAAGCTCAAAAATTTCTCCCCAATGAGATACGATGTCTCTTCACCACCCATTCAAGGCCTGACTCTCTTAGTTGACATTCCCTTCCGGTTCCCAGCATAGAAGAAGTGTCTAAAGCTCTTCTCTGAGCACCTGTAATGAGAGACATCAAGACCACAAGGAAATTAAGAACGATATAAGAAGTGAAAAGACATTTGCTGTTGAGTTTGCATGTAATTCCATGTTGCCCATAATTTTAGGTTTATTCTTCGGTCTTGTGCATTCAAAAATAGCTACCCACGCAATTCATTACTAGGACCAGAAGATATCCCTGCCCCAGCTGAGACAATTTGTCTTCAGCATTGGCTAGAAAATTTTTTTACAAGAAAGCCAAAACAATATAGCAGGACATGAATTGCACAGGCTTACCCTATTCAACTTAGAAGGGAGCCTCAAGTGATTCATCCCAAGCTTCTGCACTTCCATTAGAGGCATCTTCAACATCTTCTTCCATTGAAAGCCTAATATATTCTCTATGTGCAAACCGATCCCACTCTGTCAATGTAGGGTTCTCACGCTCCTGTTAGTTATGACATAAACAAGGCTGTTATCCAAAGTATGCATAGAAGTGCCATGGTATACAGATCCTTTTAAAGGTAACATTAAACAAGTAAATAAGAGCTGAAGTGTCACATTTACCTGACGAATGAGAAATGGATCTCGAGTTTCAAAGGCCATGAATTTGTTAAGATTGAAAAGGATATTGAAAACACTTCCAGAAAGTTTAGAACCTTTCAGGTCACGCAATGTTATATAGCTATCATTCTGAAAACAAGAAAATTTCAATTGTCAAACATGTGAAACAATCTTTTTTTTTTTTCATAACAGTGTACAGGAAGGAGCATTCAGAGGAAAATCAGCTCCAAAAGCCCAACTCAACATATGGTAAAAAGCAGTTCAGCATAATTTGCTTGTAGCCTTTATTTCAATTAATCATCTATTGTAAAGCAACCTTGAATAAACTGCTTCAAGAGGAACATGGAAAGAGATGAACTCAACATTTTCCAGAAACCTGCCTTCTTAATAGCATTATACTAGCACAAATCTTTCAAGTTTGAAATTATACGCAGAAGTTAGCAAAGATGGGTATTATGATTCATTTCCATTAACAAACTCCAATATGTATGATACTAAACAGGCAAGGAGACAAAAGGGAACAATGATTAAATAGCAAACCTCTGGTTTAATCATGTCAATTATCTGACATAAAATGTCCTCAAAGAGCACAGGCTCCTGGGCCATGCATTCCATTCGATGCAACTGCTCCTCATAAAAGAATTGCATTTCATTACGTGTCAGAACTCCATTGGCATCCAAATCTATACACTTGAACCTACAAAACAAAAAAATATAATGCGGCAATTACTGGCTAGTAATGGCATAATTCCACACCCTGCCAAACTATGTTATAGTGTTCAATAATAGAGTACAAAGCCTTGAAAACAAGATTAAAAATTCAACAACATGGGGAAAAAAAAAAAAAACCACTAGCCAAGGATACAAAGTCACTCAGAAATACAATCTCAATGTGATCATTCAGAAGCTCCACCCCTCAAAACACACTGCTATTTCTCACCCTCTGAGAGCTGGGGCAGAAAATATTAAGGGAAATATTCATAAAGCTGCAAATGAATTATTTACATCTTTTGTTTTGTTAAGTTTTGTTTGACTAAGACTAATTTCCCAATCAGTAGCTTCTGACAAATCTTTCTAAATTTTTAGGTGAAAAGTGGGATAAAAAGCTATTCAAATATTGCAGGGGGACTTTTTCTAAAAGTTAATTTCATATGAAAAATAAAAGGTCTATTTACTTCAATGCTAAGGAGGTGAGCACTGAAATTGGTAATCAGTGCACGAAAACCACTAGAATACAGTTGAGTCTACAGAAAGAACACAAAATATACCAATATTCAAGACTAGGCTCAGATGGCTTGTCCTCCTCTGCTAGGATAAAGTAGACAAAATCTTCATACCCCATCTTTCCTTCAACACTACTAGTAAACTTTCTTGGAACCTAAGATGATATGAAAGTATAACATAAGTGAAAGTTCAAATTTTTAAAATCAATCAATGAAACAGAAAAGGTGAAAGAAGAGGAAAGTGGTCCAAAATAGATGAAGTTCAATTAAATGAAAAACTTTTTTTCTGCAGGTAGAATGTGGTTTGGACCATGGACTAAAAATATCATCTGACTCAGACAAACCTGAGAAAATATCCTATTGACAATCCGGTAGGTAAGCGCATGGTTACCATATCTGATGAGGTTCTCCTTGTCAATCAAGAAATCATGATCTGTATCCAGCTCCCAAAACTTGCAGTATATTACATAAAAGTGTTCATATGAAAAGTACCTGTATATATGATGATATTTTTTTGAAAAGAAGATAAAGATTGGAATGTTAAAAATTTTGGCATTGGACTGAATGCATTAAGCATTCATCAGAATGTAGGAAAAAACACAAGCATCAAAAAGCAATTATACAAATTTATTCATGATTTGTGGAATTTGAAAGTCAAATAAAAGCCAGTTTCCTACTCCATGCATTCAAGGAGATCCAAACCAAGTCTCTACCTCAAAACTTTGTTGATGTCCTCTTCCTCATCAGCATGTAGCATGGCATCAATCAAGTTTCCACGTTTCAACTCCCTAAGAGTGAGGTGACCATTCCCGGATCTGTTCATGTAGTAATATATTCTGTATATTACAGTTTCAGCTGGCCATGTGCAACAAAAGTTATGTCAACAAATAAGCAACATGAGATAAAAATAAATGACATATTCAGCAGTACAATCTAGACTTGCAAACTATTGAAAAATACAGAGGTAGTAGTTTAAGCTAACTGTTTGAGCAATAGTAAACATCATATCGAATGGGAAAGGACCCCTGACATGTTGAGACAAATATTTAATAAGCTGTAAAGCATGAATTGGCACAATATATTAGTTCCATTTTCTTTTCTTTTTTTTTTTTGGATAAATATTTTAGTTCCATTTTCAGTCATACAATTATACACAACACGTCCCTTTCGCAACCTCTCATCATATGCTCATCAAATCGTCAACAATCAGTCATTCCAATATAATCAGAAAGTTACTTGCACATTAAACTAAAAAGAGAGGTGTGTTTATAGCAATTTCTAGAAAATGGAAGCCAAACCATTGAAACCAGAGTCTAAAATGAGAGATATATTGCCATCATTCTTACTCAAGACAACCAACACACTTAACAAGAATGCCAATCCTGTTTTCTATGCACCTTTTGTTATTGCCCAAGAGATATGCAAATTTCAACACTTGCTCATCAAAGAATTGGCTTGCATTCCTGCCTTACTAATATGCTATTATCATTTTATTAATAATTTTTAACATAGTATTATACATTATTGAACATATTAGAGACAGAGTTACTTCATCAAAGAAACAGAGTGAACTGCGTGCATAGAAATTCACATGAAAATAGATGCATTTACAGGATTTGCCACTTCAGATCTTAGTGGTTCTAGTATTTACTGAAGGAATCAGTTTGGCAACAACTGAATATCAGCATTCAAATGCCTTAGATATTGTAAAAGTAGGGGTTAAATATTATAAAGGAAAAATTATTGCCTCCCAAAATCACATTGAAATGAGAAAACAGCCAAAGGTATCAAACAGATGAAAAATATACCATATCTTTCCTGAAACTCAGGTGTACTCTGTAAGAACTCCAACCCTGGATGAGTTGCCAATAGTTCTTGGAGCACTGGTTTGAAGTCATCCTGTCAAATTGGAAAGTATAGTTAAATTAACTTTAACTATTAGACTATCAACCAATATTGCAGTTGCAGTTAATTTAAGTTCTCAAAAATGCATAAAGACCTGGGAGAGGTATTTGAGATCTGGTTGCTTTAATGTTGTATATATTTGGGTTGCCATATCCATTGTCAACATTTTGCCATTGACCCAATAATCAATAAATGCATCTCTGCAAGCAAATTAGAGGAAAGCTCAGTAAAACCTACAATATAAAATGAACTAAATGACATCACAGCTGAAAAGCAATTACAAGGAGAAGCAGTAACAGATTAGGAGTCAGATTCTTAAATAATATTTCATCTGTTTATTACCATCAGTGGAAAATGAAATTTACAACATCTAGTTCTCCAAAACCCAGCATGCAGAGAACCTCACAACAACAAAAGAATCACAATATAAAATTCTCAAAATTTTCAAACAAAGAATGGTCATAATACTAGCAGTTTCAAAGGATATGATGGATCTAAGATACAAATATAGCTGTTCCACTTCCATGAACAAGAAAGTATACCTTGTAATCAAACCAGTGCTATTAACATCAATTTTTCTGAAAAGTGATGAGGAGAAAAATGATGGCAGCTTGCAGATTTCCTTGGTCACTAGTTTGAATTCTGATATATATAGAACATGAAACACAAATCTCAGATGAGTTTCAGAAATATCTGTTAAAGCAATGCTCACATGTATCTTACCATGCAGCTGCAGCCCATCTGGGTGGCCATAGAAAAACTGATTGATTTGAAACAAGCATTGTTCTTTTAATTCATTTGGAGGTGGACGTCCATTTATAAAGTAAAACTGGAGGAATTTTCAAATTCCAGTACAACAAGTTATTACCAACCTCAAAGTCAAAAGCTAAATATAGTAGATAAAACACAACCAAGGACATCAATGGTGAAAGAAAAATAGAATATCAATTAAACAGGATCCAAACCTGAGGTATCATCTCTTTCACCGGTTCACTAACTACCTTCAGTGAAGAACCCAAGTTTGACGGACCAGCCCTTTGTTTTGTTATACGAGGGGAACCAGATGTACTTCTCGGTGAAAGGGGAGGAGCACTGCCAGCAGGAAACATGGAAGGTAAAGAATTGCTTGTGGCAGTACTTCCACTGGAAGCATTTCCAGGAACATTCAAGGGATTACCGGCCTTTGCATCATTAACCAACGATGTCACCTACCATAGTAACAAGGGTTAAACAATGTTGCACCTCAACTCATAGGCTCAGAGGAACATTTCAAAAAATTATATGAATTCCATATGCTCCGCTTCAAAGACAACAAGAAAGGGTTCCATATTTAAACACAAAGTAATTTCGGTTTTATCATCACTCGAGACTAGAAAAAAGCTATTTTGAGATTTTGTTAAGATCACTAAGCTTCCAACCTAAAATCAATTTACACAGCAAACTCTAAACTTAACCAAGGTAGGATGACACTACTTAACAAAAGACAACTACAAAATTAACAATCAAAGATCACAACATTACTTTCACATCCATTCAATCCTTTAAAGAGCCTTATTTTCTTTTGTATACACGAAATTCACATACATATATACACAATGAACTAATTAAAACATATAATAAAATCAAATAATGCAATATGAAGTACACTTTAATTATAATAGAAATAGATAATAAAAAAGAAATTTTACCATTAACCAAGCAATGAACTGATTAAAACAACGCAATGGCAATTACGATCAATCATTTTGAATTCTAGCAACCAAAACAAAACAATTCGAATCAAACACTGCTAAGATTCGAAATTAAGCTCGTAAGGTACCAGCTTGTTAGCATCGGGAAGCGAAAGCCACTGTTCGAAAAGCTTTTGAGTGAATTCAGGATTGGATTTGAGAGCTGAGGGAGACATCTCCTGGAGCTGCAATAGCTCCGCATCCAAACACGCTAAATCTCCAACAACAACTGCCTCCATTTTCCTTTCTTCGCATAACCAAACACACCTCAAACAACGTTCCCGTACAGATCAAATGAAAGCCAGCTTCCAAAATTTAAATTAAAAAAAAAAAAACAGAATTAAGCTTAAAATTTTATTTTTAATAATTTCAATAAAAATGTGAACGAGAAACTCCGATTTGGAGCTGAGAAACCATTGGAAACCCTAGATCAAGAGGGAGAAGAGATGGATGCTATTCAAGAGGCAGCTAAGAATTGGCAGAGATTTGAGAAACAAAGGCAGAGAAAGAGAGGCTTTTTTTATTAAAATAAATTAAATGAAAAATAATTTAAAGATTTTTTTACGAAAAAATAGTTAAATGGATCCACGTGGCCACGTGGGGAAGGGGTGTTGAAAGTAAAGATATAGTTGGTCTTCGTCACGTGCCAAGAGCGTGAGTAATGTGTACTTTTTTTAATATTTTAATTTTTGATGTAACTTTAATTTAATTTAATTTTTTTAAATATTTTTGAGAGATTAATAAAGTCAAAGACTCAAAATATTTGGTCCACAAACCAACTTTAAAAAGCGCAAAAATGAATTCAAAGGCTTATTTAGTTGATTCAATAGATTTCTAGATTTAATTACTTGCTATCTTACAGCTATGTGAAAAAATATATATAGATTAACATTTAATAATTTTAAAATTTAAAATTTTTTATCTTTAAATTCCGATTTGTTTGTAAAAATTCAAATGTTGCTCTTCCTAGATTTTCAAATTCGGTGAATAAATTAAAAATATGTTTTTTCTTTTTTGTATTTTTTGAAAACATAAGATAATTGAAAGAAAAAAGATTAATATAATGAACAAATAATCTTTTCAGGAGTGCCCTTTTCCTCCTACTTTTTCAATATTTAAAATTGCAAAATATTTGTAACTTAACAAAGATGATCAACATGCAATTAAAAATAAACAAATATTTCAATATTTAAAATTTCTTTTTTATAAATAATTATTCAAAAAAATGCAATTAAAAATTTTATTATTTTAAATTAATGCATTTTAAAATAGTAACATTTTAAAATTTAAAAAATTTAAAATTTTTCGTCCAAACCAACCGCGCTTTTTAGAAACAATAAAAATAAAAAGAAAGGTATATTTTTGTTATATGAAATGACAAAAAAGAAAATTAAAGATTTTGACAATTTAAAATATGACATGATCCGAATATGATGAAAAAAACACAAAAATAATATAATTTAAAATTTTTACAATAATTATATAAAAATTTAACAAAATCAAAAAATATATTTTATGTTTTCATGTCGATATAAATTGTGACATATAATTTTCGTGTAAAACACGATACAAAATACACAAATTTTAACATTTTGCATGACACAAATATACGAATTATCGAATTTAATAAATTAGGTATAAGAGGATGAAATTAGGAAATCAAGAAAAATAAAATGAAAACAAGATCTATTAGATTAAAAAATAATAAATGAAATATTTCTTTATGATCTAAATCAAAACCTTAGGAACCTGTAACCTCTAGGACTTTTGCTTACTGCTATTTGTAGGATATTTATCATATTTCCCTCAGAGGGGGGGAGCTTAGGTCCAAATGGTTCTCATTTTCTTAAAATGAGAGAGATAGAAAAAGAAAAGGAAGCTGTAGAAGAAAATCAAATTACATTTGCTGATTGCATCATAGGACAGCAACTAATTCAAAGAATGAGAAGGAATAAATCTGTTCAGACAAGTAGGAATGTAGGAACAGGAGCAATCTGCCACTACACCTTGAATAAATATTAACAAATTGAGAGGATCGCCCGGATCCCAAATCTTAGCATCCTTCTCTTCATGACTCTACAACAACATTGCATGATGACAGGCAAGAAAATCATATATATGACATTTCCATCGAAAAAAAGTGGAATTTAGCTGTGGTGAGACCCATTAATGAGTGTTAAGAAATATGTTTTGATTGAAATGGGAATGCGGGGATTTCACCGGAAAGAACCACCATCTCTTACCAAATGGGATGTCCACGGTCACCCCTTCCTCTTATCTGTAACTCTCGAATGGTACTCAGAGCTTTGATTCTGATCTTCGTGGAAACCTTTTGAGGTTGTAGCTCGTGAGAGAAACGATTTCTGCTCAGACCCAGAATGGACTCTCTGGCTTGTGGAGAGGCGACTACTACCTGAAAGAAGCCAACTTGATCGACTATCACTAGGCCCCAGAGAAGAGGTTGGCCTGCTGCTTGAGGCAACAGCCCTCTTGGACAAGCTGCTAGGGCGGTTGGAAGAAGTTCGTTCCCTTCCAGAATCGTTGTCCTGGAAAAAATTGAGAGAAATTCATAATAGCCAAACTCTACATGCATTCAAAGACATTGATGCATCAAATTTATTCCATGATGTACATCCAGATCCAGATTGGAAATAGGCAAACAAACAATAAATGAGACTAAATGCAACAAAATTTATGGCAGTCAATGCTTACCAAATCCTTTGATGGTGATGCCTTCTCTGATACCTTCTGCTTTGAATGATCGCTGAGATGTCCACTGCCTGAAGCATTTTTCTTAGCAAATACCTCAACAGCGCCTGGAAATTTATCACGATTTTCTCGTCCCACTAGTCAAAACATGCAAGGAAAAACCATCAAGGTTCACTTAACACAGAGAAAAAAATTTGCTTCCACAAGGTAAAAACCAAGAAACTTGTTAAATCACCCCACTCTAAAAATGCAAGGTTAAGTATCCAAGCCTCAAGCATCATAACCACAAAGTGAAAATTGTATCTAGAAGTAGGAACTCTACAATGAAACTCAAATAATTCAAATACATCCTTAGCAATCCAAACATTTTAATACCCCCACCCCCACCCTCTTAGGAGAACAGACCACACCTGATATCTTCTCTGGTCTTTCAGCAGATGCTCCAGCATTTAAGGCAGCTTTTCCATTTGACAGCTGAAATGACACAATAAAGGAAATAAGAATTATCTTTGATAGGACAGATGTACAGCACAAGGTTGACAAGCTCTGACCCGTTGTCTAGAGCTACCAGTGAGCTGGGGATACTTGAGAACGGTCCAGTCAAATACATGGTCAAACTGATATCCTGCCAAGAAAACCACCTCTGGAATCAAACAAGGCCATAAACACTCAACCAGCCTTCAAAGAAATATTTGAAAATGATGTTTTCTCATGATTTTATGGGAGTATATCATGCTTTCCAACATCTCAAAAGCAGAAAAAGTAACTTCAGCTAGCAACAGAATAAGCCCACATACACGTTATTCATATTGCTATAACAAACTGTGTTTGCAATATGTTTCAAGTACATCTTGACAGGAGTTAAGGTTCATTCCGTTTAGTCCACTATAGTTGGTATCTAAAATCCTTGTTCATTTTCAAGGAGTATTGGTTACATACTGATATTTATGTACAAACAATTATGGCACAGCAACCACCAATCTATGCAGAGTTTGTGATACATTTAAATGACCCAACACATGACCAGAAGAAATTAGAAAGCTAGGTCATCAATTTTCCAGAAAGCAACCCACCTTCCAATAGGCTATTCATAACTTTAAAAACATTTTTTAGGGCATTGCGAACGATAGAAACAGCTCCTAACTTCCAGCATTAACTGATTCGAATAGGAAACTACCATCTTTGGTTCTTACCTTCTCGAATAAATAAGTCACGAAAAAGCCTCCTCAAGTATGAATAATCTGGCTTGTCTTCAAAGCGCAATGAACGACAATAATGGAAGTATGATATGAACTCTGATGGATATGACTTGCAGAGTACCTAATGGTAGGATTTGCAAATTTTATGTAATTAGTTATAAATAAGGGAATATTAGTGACATGGTAAGATTACCAGCCTTGCCTTGTATCGTATATTCAGAATTCAATAGGAAAGCATCATGCATTAAACTATAGGGATAATGTCATGATTGGCCCCTGTATTATACACTTTTTTCCAATATGGTACCTGTACTTCAAAAATATCCAATGTGGTACTTGCACTATCAAACTGTGTGATAATATACAAGTCATAAACAATTTTCTGATGATGTGGTACACTGATGTGGCATAAAATGCCACGTGTCATCACCTCATTGACTGATTGCCACGTCAGTTTGTCTGTCTACTGGTGTTAACCCCAGGTATCATATTGTCACACAGTTTGAAAGCACAGGGACCGTATTGGACATTTTTAAAGTAGAAGTACCATATTGAAAAAAAGTCTATACTATAAGGGGCAAACATGATATTATCCCCAAACTATAAGCATAGAATCCTACATGCAAGTGACAAGTTGAAATTTAAAATACCTCAACAGGAGTTAGCATCTTCTTTTCACTGATTTTATCATACTTCTGTTTTTTCGTCCCTGCCTTCAGGCCCTGCCAGGGAAGGCTGATGCCAGCAATACACAAATTTAAAGAACATGATGAATAAGAAACATTTTCACATCAACAAACTTATGACACACAAAATAATAGTGCTATTATTTTTACAACCTTCCTCTTAAGAAATACATGAGCACATAACCAACTGATTCCAAATCATCTCTTCGGCTTTGTTCTGTACATGAATTGAGAAATAATTAGATTACACAATGCACATCATGTCTAACATGAATCAGCAGCAACAATAACTTAATTAACATGGCACTTTACCCACCAACTCCAAGGTGAGTGTTAACACTTGCATATCGAGCTGTGCCTGTAAGATTCTTGTTCTCTCTGTGAAGATAGCAAATTCACAGAAGATGAGGCAAATCTTGAACATAAGACTGAGTACATAAATAACCATTCAAATAACCATTGAAACTAATAATAGATGCTAACCGTAATGTGATAATTTTGTAGACATCTTATGTTAGTATGTAAGCAATGGAGCATCAAACAATGTAAGCAAAAGTAGGTTAAATACCACAACTGTTCAAGAACTTTCTAAGTAAATTGGTGGCTTGTCTCTCTAGCTTGTTTAGCTAGATGTTATCATTCTCAAGGAGAGTTGCAATTAGTTTACAAATATATACATCTAGATAGAAAACATTTAACATACAACTGACAAACATACAAGATGAATGGAACTGTAGCAAACCAAATCTCATTGTGCCATTATTATGGATAAGAAACAAATGGCAAATTCATACCTATAGGGTATGTGTTTATGAGTTTGAAGATCCCTATACTTTTTAGCAAGGCCATAATCAATAATATACACCTGTTATAAAAAGAACGTGCTGGTTAGTAGCAAGTCAAGGCCTTTAGTAATGGCATTTAATATAGCAAGCAACTATAGCTGCAATAACTTTACAAAATATACCAGTATGGCAACCTACAGGTTATCAACTATTGATACAGGCAAGAACAATGAAAACAAACTTCAATACGCAATCAGTAACTGGCATTTGGCATAGACATGCAATACTTAAATAAAGCTCAACTCAAGGTAAGGCAATTTTAAACCCTGTTTAAAACCCTGTATGAGGATATCAGGATAAAATTATAGTTTCCACAAGTTCATTCAATATCTTAAATTCACTTTCCATCGAATAAAATAATTGCACCATATTTAAGATGCAAAAAAGGCTTATGTGAAATCTTCACAGAAGAAAATGACATTGATGCATCGACAATACAAGATCTTGCAGATATGTCCTCTCTTTAAACTTCTCAGTTAAGCATGGTAAATTTCAGATACTGTACACAAAAAAGAATTAGCTTTTACTCTGGAAACACAGTAATTTTCATTTTTAAACTCTCTTATTGTAATCTGAAATTATTAGCAGCTAAAAATATGAGTGAGGAGACAACTGCATAAGATATTCTTATAACCACATATCGGTATTAGCAAGGTATAAACTAATAAATTTCATTTTCACAATTTCCACCTTTTTCTATTTCACCAATAATAAAGTATGATAACATTTCAAAGGAGTGCACTCAACCATCCATCTAGAAAGTGAAAGCATCGCATTAGCTCAAGTACCTGATTTGCTTTTCGTGCCAAGCCCATTAGAAAGTTGTCAGGTTTTATATCACGGTGAAGAAATCCCCTTGAGTGCATATATTCAACTCTGTTGATCTAAAAGGTAACAGAAATAAAAGAACTCATCACACTTGATGCTAATGTAGGTAGAAAAACAATTTCTCCAGTACAGGTAAACATACTAACTGATCTGCAAGCATTAACACTGTCTTCAAAGATAGCTTTCGATTGCAGTAGTTGAACAAGTCCTCGAGGCTTGGCCCAAGAAGCTCAATAACCATAATATTGTAGTCACCTTCAACTCCAAACCACTTGAGTTGGGGAACCCCCGCTTCATCAAAAACAATAAACAAAAGAAACAATGAACTTCAGCTAATTTATTACATATTCAGTTTCTTTCTTCACAATTCACTGTACTTATTAAAATAAATAATCAGCAAAGCAAAATAACAAAACCTTACTTCCGCCTTGAAGAAGCATGTACAACTTTGACTCATAGTGAAGCTGAGGGTGCTTGGTCTTCACAGGTTCCTGAAGATATAAGGTATAAAAAAAAGGATCCTAGGTTATCAATGTCCAACGAGATTAAGTTAGGGGATCAGAAGAAACATTCTAAACTTACTTCTCATAACATTGTAGTGTGAAAAAAGGTGCCTTTTTAATTCTGGAATGCATGGCATTGTTGCAATATCTAATGAACTTCTATGAAGCAACAAATCTCAGTGTAGTTCCATTTTCGAAATTTTTGAAAGTTTTCTATGTATCCCACATCTAACCTTTGACAGAGATAAGGCTTACACGAAAATGCTCCAAAAGGGCCCTACCCAAAAATCAATTTATCATTTAATCCACATCTCTATTTTCATCAGCATTTTCCAATGCATCACAACTCAATAATTTAGCATCCAATCCATCGTATCTAGTAAACCGCTGAAAGCATCATCACAGGTAACAGCATGTTCTGATCCAATAAATCTCTTCAACTCACAACTTACTCAACAGATACATTGAGAAATCAACATTCTAATAATAACTTACAGAAACTCATATTTCCATAGATAAACTATTCAAACTCCGACTGATCAATTAGATATAGCAAATACAAGAAGCTGGACTCAGCTACGCCTTAATTCAGAGGTAAAAAATGTAAAACTAACAAAGATTAAACTAATCAAATATAATAAAATTAGTAAAGCACTAACAATGATTAAACTAATCAAATATATAACAAAATTTAATTCCAAAAACACAAGGCTCATACCATCTTTATAGCAACTTCTTCCCCTGTCTGTATATTGACCCCTATCAATGAAAATTGCCACAGAAAATCAGATTAATTACTTAAAAAAGGTAAAAATAAAGAGGGAAAAAGAAGGGAAAGTGATTTACCAAGGAAAAGCTCGCCGAACGAACCAGCTCCGATCTTTCGACCCATTTTGAATTTTCCACCGACAACACGATCCATTATCAATTAAATTAATTATTCACCAAAAATTAACCAAAAATTTAAATAAAAATTTACAATCAGAGGATTTTATAACAAAATGGGCTCGAAATTGGAGAAATAAAAGGCCGAAATTATTGGATGACGAGCCACATTGCTGAATAAAAATGAAAAAAAAAAAGTGAATAGTGTTGGTGGAAAAATTTTAATGAGAAAGAATAAAAACAAGGAGATTATCAAATGAAGAGTGGAAAAGAAGGCGGGAAAAGGAGAGAGAAAGAAAACGAAAGATTTCAATACAGAAGAAAGAAAATTTACTAATAAAAGTAATTTTTTTATTTCTGTTTCTCTGATTTCTTAGGTTTTTGAAGAAAAGAAGTTTTTTTCTTTCCTTTAAATCAATGGAAAGTTTTTTCGTTTTTTTTTTCTTTTGATTTCTTTTTCTCTCCCTTTCTCTCTCATTTTCCTTTGCTTTGTGCACGGTTAAGAAGGCGGCACGAGCAGTCACATGACTAACACGTGCATAGTATCTTTAATTTTTTTTTAATTACGTGGCAATGGCATCGGAATGTATCGCTCGTCTTTTTTCTCGTTTGTTTTCTTCTTTGATTTTCGTGGGAAACAAACAAAAAGACAAAACAGCGAGCTAGAAATCGAGAAAATGAACGAAAATTCGTTGGATGAAGAGGGAGCGATGGATCTGTTGAATCAATTGGAAGCCATATTGGAATCTGATCCTCTCATGTGAGTATATATACGTTATTTGAAAAGTTAGATCGTTTTTTTACGAAATATATAATTAACGTTTCAATATTTGAATTATATTAGAATTTTTAATGTTCGTGGTGTTTGGTTACTAAGAAAATGGACAAAAATCAAATATATTATTTTTAAACTCTATGGAAACTTTTAAGAATATAAGCTGAATATAGTCAGTAAATTTGAGAAAATAAAATTATCTTGCCTTTAATTTAGTTAGAAGAATTATTTGAAATTTTATCTAGGATTTTATATATTGGCGCTTTTGCTTTTTTTTTTTTTTTTTTTGCATTTTCGAACAAAAGGTAGAACTAAATGTTTGGAATGTAAAGAAAACATGTAATTTTGAGACTTAAAGCTTTTATGGAAAGCAAAAAGAAAATATTGATTTTGCATGTAGATGCTTTTCTTTGAAAAGCAAACAGTAAAAGTGGCCACGAAATGGAACCATGGTTGTTTACTAATTTATTCTTATTTGATAGATTTTGAAATGGATTGTTTTATGTTAAGTTTCAAAACTACGACCTAACATGATTCATTTTTTGGCTTTCCATAGACTCGACCCCAGAGTTATGTGATATACAGCTTAGTTTGTTATTGTTGTTGTTTCTGTTAAGATTGTCGTATAAAGCTAATATTATTGGTGTTCTTGAATTCAGTGATGAAGTAGGGTTTATTCACCCATCTCAGTTTGTCATGCTTAGCAAAGAGTGTTGTGAATCCAGTGATTCATCCGAGGATGGTGCTTTCCGACCTAGAGATACAAAATTTTGGAATAGAGATCATAAGTTGGGTATTTCCACTGAGGTTCTTCTTCCCTTGTGTAAGGCTGCAAAAAGTGCGTTTATGGATGTGATGAAACAATATAAGACACATAGCAGCTTATCGGATAATAAACATGAGGATGAGAATATCATGTTTGGCTCTTTGTCTTGTCTGTCTTTTGAAAGTGAAGTCATGAAGCATAGCAGGGCGCTTTTATTGTTAAGCTGTGATTTTGGCACTGCATGGAATTCCAGGTTTTCCTCATTCTGTTATCTATCTAGTTCTATACTTATCATTTAACTTCTTCCATTCACTTGTACTTTGGATGCAAAAATCAATTTTTGCAAAGATGATTCCGAATTGTTACTCGTTTTCTCTTGCTTGTACGGCATGGTGAATTGTTTTGTTTTGATCTGATTGACACCCTATTTGCTTGTGGTTTCACTGTGAAAAAATGGTTGATATCTCTGTTGAATAGTGATTGATAACCTTGAGCATGTCATGTAAATCTGCTACTGAATTTCAATCCTCTATTCATGGGCTATTCCATTGGAGTTTCAAGTCTCTGTTTAAGCTCCATGAGACAAAGCTTCTGGCATAAACTTTGAAAATGATGGAATCAAACCTTGAGATTATCTTTGCATGACTACAAGCTGAAAGTTTCTGATTTCTTACTGTCTCTCTTATAGCCTTTGCACAGCTTGAAAGTTCCTTATTCTTACTGTTATGGTATAGTTTTGCAAGTTTTATCTTTCCTTTGTTGTTGCTTAGATCATGATCCTAGTTTTTGTATTTTGTCATTAGGAAGCTAGTTGTGTCAAAGAAGCAGCAAATGTCAATGTTTATGGATGAACTTCTCTTGTCAGCCCTTGTTCTTTCTTATTCACCTAAAAGTGAACAGGCTTGGAGCCACAGGCGATGGATTATCAAGATGATTGCTGGAAAATATTCAACTCTGCAAGATATCATAGCAAATGAATCTGAGCTTGTTGAAAAAATAGCTGAGGTTTAATTTCTGCTCCGGAACTAGATACTATCGTATAATAAGGTTTCTTAGCTTTTTCAAAGTAAATCCCTTCCTTTCTTTTCTTCTGTCTCAAGAAGTGGCTATGAACTCCAAGATGTATAGTAGTGCCTAATGGTTTTGTCCCAAACTAAAAATTGAATAGAAGTATGAAACCTAGAGGTTTGAGTGCATTAAGCTGTTTGATTTCCAATGTGCATACTTAGGCCAAGGACTCATCAAAGTTTGAATGAATTTGTTCTACTCTTTTTCCTCCTTGTAAACCTCTGAATCTTTATTATTAAGATATGGGACTTTTTTTTGGTGGACTAAGTCCGCTACTAAACCAATTATGTTATGGGTTTTTGCTCATCAACCACCAATGGCTATCCAATGTACCTGTGATAGAACCACCCTTAATGTAGTTCATATTCTTCTCTTTGCAGAGATCAAAAATGAACTACCGTGCCTGGAATCACCGCTGCTGGTTAGTTTCCTACATGACAAGGGGGCAGGTTAGAAACTTGGATTATGCAGATTGTTCAAATGGTTTATAGTGTCGCAACATAATTTCTAGGTCTGTTGCACTTCATTTATGTGTCAGGAAAAGCTAATAATTAATAGCTGTATTTAATGCTGCTTTTTCAAAGGAGAGATAGTATGTGTTGAATCATGTTTGTTTCCTGTTTTTAAATGCTGAGGCATGCTGGTTCAAGAAAGCATCCTTTCTTAAGTTCCTCTTACATTGTTTTATTGATATAAATATATACTTTCAGATGCTTCATGAGATAAAGAAATCCAGAGATTGGGCTGGGTTGCACGTTGCTGATAATTCATGCTTTCACTATCGCAGAGTAAGCTTCTATATTACAATCTAAATATGATATTGCCTCCAAGAAAAGATATGTTTGTAGTTCAAAGAATAATGAGAAATGTTTCATTTTACCACCTGTAAATAATCATTCATTTAAATTTAACTTTTAAACATGCAACTGACTATCTTCGTGTGCCTCAATTTGCAGCGGCTAATGCTTGGAATTTTAGAGAATTCCTTCTGTAAACAAGAAGGTGACAACTCTTCTTACGATGTTGAAAACTATCAAGTCGTGAAGGTACAATTCTATGGCAGATATGAAAAACACAATATCTTTTGTCATCTTTATCAACAAGAAAGAATAATACATATGCACCGAATATGCATCTGTGATCAGTGATGTCTTTATGGAACAATTTATAGAGTAATTGCTTTTTGACCTCTTCAAAAAATTGTACCGGACAGGAGGAACTTGATTTGAATGAAGTGTTAATAAAGCGTTATATAGGTAGAGAGGTATGAGGCTCTTCTCCTATTCTCTTCCCCTCTTCAAACAAAAGAAAAGGGTTAAGGGGTTTTGTACAAAATTAATGCACTTGTTTTTTCGTAATTTCATTGCTCCTTTGAACAAATATATCCTATTTGTGTTAGATGACACTTATGTGTTTGAGTTATTTGTGCAATGTCCAATTCACCTATTGTTTTGATCCTTAAAATTTTTAGTTTATATTGTTCATCTTTGACAGGCTCTATGGCTTCATCGTCGTTACCTGTCCCTATGTTTGATACGGCATTTGACAACTATGCATGGTACTTGTTGCCATTCTGAGCAGAAAACCAGCATGGATAATGAGATAAATAAATTTTTGGATAATGAATCATGTCTCCTGAATTCCTGCTCAACCATTCAAGATATGGAGTTTGAGGATTTCAAAGCACAAGCAATGTATTCAGCAATTTACTTTTTATGGTTGATAAAGGTAATATAATTTTGCTTAAATCATAGTTTCAACAGGTTTCGTTGCAAGCTACTAATTGAATGCATACCATGCATCAGCAAATTCCTCAATTTAGGGAGATTGAACTGCAAGTGAAGCTAAAAGCAGGAAACTTGAAGAGCATACTACATAAGACATGTCCAGAAAGATCTTTCCTTTGGGATTTTTTGGACTTAAATGGTTTTTAATGAGCATGTAAGAGAGAATTAGTTACAGCTTTGGTAAATATTACCTATTATATAATCTTTCCATGACAATTTTATTGTGCTACTGAAAATAAACATTTTGTATTCTCACTTTTTCTAATGTTTGATAAGATATCGGATTGACAGGAAACTTCCAAGGGTGCATTGCCATGTTTTCCAGCTCCAAAGAGGTCTGAGATGCCATGAGGATAAGGCAAGCTAGTATAGATTTGAGAAATGGCTGACCATTCCCACTTTACCATGGTCCTGGAAAGAAACTTGTAAATGAAAAAAATGGGAAGCAACCGACTAGCATAACTGGACACAGTGGAAATGCACAGGGAGTTTGCTGAGTTGGTATGAAAACTCACAGCTTTATATTGACCTTTGTGTGTTGTTTTTTTTTTTTCCTTTTTTCTTTTATAACTGATATTCACTCTTCCATTTGAAGTCCGCATGTCATACACTAATGTGAAACTTTGTCTTCCCATCAAAATTAAAGCATCGAATGTTAGGCAGCTCTTTTATGTCTCCAAATGTTCCCTAAAACTGATGGTTGCTTCCTCTGTCGAGTGGGAGCCAATGCACACCAATCCTCAAGATGATGGTTTGGTTGCTTCCCTTGTCGAGTGGAGCATGTGTTGAGTAAAGCTTAATAAAGGTCTTTACTCTTTTGTTTGCTTAATGCAAACCTTCATTAGAAGGTATCGTTCATGCAAGTCATCTTTAAAAGGTGTAATCCAACAAACATGAAGTTCAAATCTATTCATTGCCGGCTTGAATCATAACGATGATATGTAGAAGAGATTGCCCCAGTTTGATGAGTCTCCCCAAAAATAGATTGAAGGTTGCATTAACACTTACAATACCTTCCTTAATAGATATTGAATTCAAATCTCGATATTTGCAATTTTTTTTTAATTTTCAGACTAGATTCTTCTTTATATATATAAAAAATACATCAAATCGTTATCGTAGTTAATAACCAGCTAAATTAAACTCTTGTTTTTCTATGTTTATGTTCTACTTCAAGCTTCTATTTTACTTTAAGCTGGGCTTGAGCTTATAATCAAGTGAATATGATCATGAATTCTCTATTCCAGCCTCGTATTTTCTAGATTAATTTCAATGAATATTGGGGATAAAAGTGAAAAAGTCATATGGAAGAAAAAGAAATGATATTTTCATTCGTGCTCTTAGAAGAGACATATCTAAACGCTAAGATAACAGTCTACTAAAACACGACAAAAGATTAAGGGTTCATTTTGATTCCACTGAACCCCATTAGGGTTTCGATTGTGATGAAACATGGTGCCAAACATATCGAAGAGATCCAAACGAAGTAGCCTGATGGTAACTCTTATGTTCGATTATTTATATTCAGCTTGATCTGAAACTTAAATTTATATTGTACATAAGTAAAATAATAATTTTTTAATTAAAATAATAAAATATAAAATATGTATATAATTTATTCAAATTAAATATTAAAAAATTTAAAATCAATTTATTTAACATATTAAATTATTTAAATTTATATTTAATTCGATAATAACCTAATAAAATTCAAATTTTATTGCAAGAACTCAAAGTAGTCGCCAGGAGTTTATCATTTCTGCTTCAGTGGGTGGTGGACTCCTCCAGTCATCCGGGTCGGGCAATCAAATGCCAATTATACGTGAAATAGTATGATTTTCCCTCTTTAGCCCCCAAAAATGACTTTTTTTTTTAATTAATTTATACAGAACGCAGCATGGTGAAAAACCCAAGACACTCACTTTCATCACCAATCCCATCATCAAGGTATCAACTTGAGCTTCCATTCTCTTCAATCTCAAATCCTTTTGCATAACGCTTCACCAACAAAAAAAAAAAAAAAACTGATTTTTTATACAACAATCTAAGTAGAGATGCAAGGGTTTTCCGATGGCATCACCGGCGCCGATTTGGCTCAGCTTCAATCAACCATGCACACCATCGAAGTTGCCTGCACTTCGATTCAGGTTCATATTTACCCACTTTAGATTTTGTTTAAAAATTATTTATAGACTGAATGGATTCATATGCTTTGTTTGTTTTACTACTTGGTTTTGGTCTTTTAACACTTTGTTTGATTGCATTTGTTTTTGATGCAGATGCAGATAAATCCAACGGCGGCGGAGGCAACGATATTGTCATTATCACAGTCACCTCAACGGTATAAGGCGTGTCAGTTTATCCTGGGTGAGTTAAGCTAAATGACTTTAGATATCAATGTTTCTAAGCATTTCTTATATTTGGCTTTTGCTTCCCCTCGAAAAAAGTTATTGGAAAGTGAAGTTATATGATTTTGTTGTTCAAAGAAATGAGCAAATAGGGGAAATTAACTAACTTTTGAATATAATTATACCATAAAAATTCAAAATCTTTCAAATACATGTATTGCTTTTGTACCCAAACTCAATTTTTTGGTGGCAAAAGCTAGTATCAAATGGTATCTAAGATTCTCATAACTGGTCAGAATTTTATTTGTAATTCATGGAAGGGCGAGGATCCAACAAATGTTTAATGCTTGTTTTGTTAGTGGCCTGTGACCATTTGGTAGACACTCTATATGCATCAAATGTTGTTGAAGGTTTTTTTATGGGTTGTATAAAAGATAATTATTGTCTCAAGTTGCGCTGTTTGATTTGGTTGCTGGTTTTTGGTTGTGGAAGGGTCTTTCCGTGTTTCTAGAATCTAGACTCATGTTTCCTTGTGTTTAGATTAATAAGTGAAACCATGCATGTGTTAGGGTTTGACACTAACCAATTATGTTTCCACTTGTTGGAAAGGATCTTTTTTTTTTCTAAAAAATCTTTTATGGCTTACTTTGTCAAATTTTCAAGGCAACATCTTGAAATCATTGTGTCTTGCTTGTCTGGTTCATGATGTTATTGTTCTCTTTGGAAGATGGAAAGTTTACTGATTTGCATGGTTGTTTGACCTTTGTTTGATAAGCATAAAACATTTTGTACCGTGGTGAAAGTTATGTAGTTCTTATGGTTTAGACAGTTAGCCTTGTGATATTTCATGCTAAATTCAATTCATTATTCAGAAAATTCTCAGATGGCAAATGCAAGGTTTCAGGCTGCCGCAGCCATCCAAGATGCAGCTATCAGAGAATGGGGTTTTCTTTCTACTGAAGACAGGATAAGTTTGATTAGGTATCATTAACCTTTTGAAGATTACATTCTGCAAAAGTATTGTTATTCTTAAAAGATTAGTGTCAGCATTAAGCAAGACACAGCATATCTTTTTCAATTAAATTGCCTCTGTTCGATTGTGTTATTTTACTCTGTTTTTCATTTTTTAGATTTTATTTTCTATTTTGCAGTTTCTGTCTGTGCTTTGTCATGCAGCGTGCTAGTTCACCAGAGGGCTATGTGCAAGCCAAGGTATCTTCCGTGGCTGCTCAATTAATGAAAAGAGGCTGGTAGGTTGCATGACTTTCCATATTCAGCTTAAATAACATGTAGAATATGCATCTGCAGCACTGTGTACTAGCTAATGCGACCTTCTCATCATGAGGGCATGTAGTACAAGTTTTATCATGCTGAAGCCTGTTCTGAGTGATGCTGTGTCCTGCATTTCATTAAGCTTTAAGTAACATTCAACATATTGCTATAGAATTCCATATATGCTATGAGATATTGAGAACATTATAGTTGTTTCAATGAATATTTATTTGTAGGCTTGATTTTACAGCAGCTGAGAAGGAGATGTTCTTTTATCAGGTATGTATTCCATTGTTATTATTCTTTATCCTTTCTGCAGATGTGGTTGTGATTTAATTACATGTTTGTCTTCCTAAAATATTCTGTTTGCTTATCTTACTTTCTAACTTAGTTATTTTTGAAAGGACATAGATCATATATGCTTTGTTCCTTCCATTCTCTATTACATAGAGGAGCAGAGCTTGAAGAATACTTATTATGTTGATCATCTAAACTGTAGGTGATTAATTGTATATTGGATTCTTATAGTTTTTTTTTTTTTTTTTTTGACAAAGGATTCTTTTAGTATTTAACTAATGTCTCATACAACTTGAATGTTATTGAGTTTTTCTAGTGTTGAAACTCATTTTAGGCCACCCAGTTTTTGATTGGCATCTCTTAATGATTTCATGACTGCAGGTTAACCAGGCCCTTCTTGGTGCTCATGGAGTGGATGTGCAGTTCATTGGAGTAAATTTCTTGGAATCTTTGGTATGCAGTGCTTTCTAGGAGTTCTAATTGGTCTCTGTTGCATCTTTCATTATGTTGGCTTTTAAATTTTATAATCAACTTCCTCTTCCTTTTAGGTTTCTGAATTTTCACCTTCTACTTCAAGTGCCATGGGTCTTCCCAGGGAATTTCACGAGCAGTGTCGGACATCTTTAGAGCTAAACTATTTGAAGGTTCCTTCGATTTATCTTTACCTTGTGTTGAAACTATTGATATTATTGATGTTTTTCTGTCAAAGAATACACTGTTGTATCTACAACGAATTCCTTTTATCTTGACATTTTACTTGTCCGGCCCTTGTGTTTTTGATTCATAGACCTTCTACCGTTGGGCACGGGATGCTGCTTTAAGTGTCACAAACAAAATAATTGAATCTGATGCTGCGATACCTGAGGTTAAAGTTTGTACTGCTGCCTTACGACTCATGCTTCAAATTCTGAACTGGGAGTTTCGGCATGATACAAATAGCATGAAAGCTGGTATCAATGTTTTTTCAGCTGGAGTTAGACGGCCTGAATGTGTATTAGTGCAGGTAATTGAAATGTTTATAATTTCTGATATTTGCTATATAGGTATATATAACATTGAAACATCCCATGATTATATCTTCACAGAGGATAACATGAATGCATCAGCATCCATAGTCCTGTGTGGAGACTTCAAAATAAAAGATACCTGGCCAGAAATCAACCGAATCTACAATATTAGTTGTCTTCCTCTACTTTCATTGCTCTAGCCTATCACAAGGAGATTGAGTGCCTTTAGATGCTGTAGTTAAATCATGTACTTCCACAACACATGTTGATTCTTGTTAAATCATGTTGATTCTTGTTGTTGGTGCAATTTTGTGCTGGTTGTAGCCTGGGCCTGCATGGTGTGATGTTTTGATCTCAAGTGGCCATGTTGGATGGCTGCTAAGCTTATATGCAGCGCTTAGACAGAAGTTTTGTCATGAAGGTTACTGGCTGGACTGCCCTATTGCAGTCTCTGCTCGAAAGCTAATTGTACAGTTCTGCTCTTTGACAGGAACCATATTTCCTTCTGGTTAGTGTTTCATTTAATACCTTTGTGTTGATTATTATGTGTTTCATTTTGTAATAAATGCATATTTATTGATTCTTTGGTATAATTTTTGTTGTAATTGTGTGATGAATCTCTTGAAGCATATATTTTATAACTATTAGTTGCTTTGTGTACTTATTGCTGTGGAATTATAATATCAGTGTCATAATTATTGTTCAGATAAAGTTATTTGTGCACTAGTTTTGCTTGAAATTGAATACAACGAAGTAATGGTATGTCAAACATAACAGATTCTTAATTTTGAAGAGCTTTTTGTTTTGCTGAAGCTGGACGGTTTGACTAGAACCCCCTGAAATTGTGAGATAAAAATCTCTCCTTGTTTTAGCTTGAAAATATAGTAGATAGCATTCTCCTCTGTAAGGCATCTAGTGATTGGTTCGAATGATCAATCATAGCTTTTGGATTAAACTTTGCTGCTAAATTAAAGGTTATAGATTGATTCTTGTTTAAAATCATGTATGTAGATAATAGATTTCTCTAGACAAGGATAGCATTTTCTGGGGAGAGAAAGATTGATTTGGGGGGAACGTGCTCTGGTGTTTAGTGAACCATTATTATGCTTTTGAAAATTAATTGTCTTTGTCGAATTTACTTTCTAAGATTATTATAACCTATGGAGTGTGTACCTTCTTAGCCAAGGTTGTTTGTTACATTTAAAGTTTTTAACTGATTAATTTTATTAATAATTTTAGATAATGGGAAAATGCTAGAGAATCATTTGCTACAGCTGCTATCTGGTATATTACAGTGGATCGAACCTCCTGATGCCGTTTCAAAAGCTATTGAAGAGGGGAAAAGTGAAAGGTTTGTTATTCCATATTGCTTACTTGTTGTTCATTTACTTCTATGTTTATAAGCTTGCTATAAAGTCACATGATTCTACCGTATCATCCAGTGAGATGCATGATGGTTGCCGTGCATTGCTATCTATTGCAACTGTAACGACTCCTTTTGTGTTTGACCAACTCTTGAAAGCCATAAGGTAAGTAATATGATGCTCATTTTATTTCTTGCTATCCGATTTGTTGTCTTACTGTACTCTTTCAGTAGTCTGAAACAATTTTGCCTTTTTGCTTTGCTGTTCAGGCCTTTCGGTACTCTTACCTTGCTGTCCACCTTGATGTGTGAAGTTGTTAAAGTTCTTATGACTAATAACACTGATGAGGAGACCTGGAGCTGGGAGGCTCGAGATATCTTGTTAGATACGTGGACTATTCTGCTTGTGGTACATTGTTCTAGCTTGCTAGAATGTTCATTTATATTCTGTTTCCTTAAGATAATCTATTAATTCATTTCAGTTTCTATAAATTCTTGTTTAGTACGAATATATCTTTTGTAACTTCGTTTAGTGGTGGCGGTTGAAATAAAATATTTTTTTTTACAACTTGTGAGCCTTTGGATGGTAATGGTGGAGATGCATTTCTTCCTCGTGAAGGGAAACAAGCTGCAGCGAATCTCTTTGCCATGATTATAGAGTCTGAGCTAAAAGGTAATCATAGTATTTGCTGTCTCTATTGCTTCTCACAGTGCTTGCTATGCTACTTTTTGTTCTGTTACCAGTTAATGTAATATTCATTT